CTTCCGATACACCTAACATGTGTCCTTGGTAGACGAGAAATTTCATGAAAGCAGGGCCTGGAAGTCCTGCTCCTCACTCCTCCCCTGTCTGGCAGCAAGCCTATCTGGCATGTGGCAGGGGCTCCGGGATTATTTCTAGAAGGAAGGGAAGGAGGGAGGGAATGGTGAGAGAACAGAGGTGTGCCCAGCCCTGCCGGACCCGGATGAGCAGCGAGACCTGCCCTCAAGGACTCCCAGCCACTGGAGACACCAACCATACACACTGCCAGCATCCTTCGCGAGCTAAATCTATCCTGTTTGGCGCTCTAAATTTCTCTAGAGAGAGAGCCACAGAGCATGGCGACCAAGTGGTGCACGTATTAACACAGCACATGGAGAGCGAGAGGCTAGCGATGCACACACAGCAGGAAGGAGCCCAGGACGCAGAGCAGCCAAGCTCAGCACCGCCCAGCCGGAGGAGGTTCCTGTGGCGGAACCCTGCACAAGCCCTTACAGGAAGAAGCAGGCTGAAAAGAAGGGAGGGGTCTTCCAGCAAGAGCCCAGCACGGGAGGGGCAGGGACAGAAAGGCCATATGGGGGGGCATATGTATCGAGCACAAGGAGGGGGAAGCTGACTCTGGAGGTGTGGATGGGGCACACCCAGCAGGCCAGAACCCCAGTCCTGCTTTGTGCCCAGTGCCCCTTAGCTAGGCATGACCCGCTAAGGACAATCTTTCCAGAATGTTCATGGGGACACGGGGCCAGCCAGGGTGGGGTGGGGAGGCAGAGGCTGGGTGGTCATGCCAGAAGGTTGCAACCACAGCCGGAAGGTCAGGGCTGTCTGCCATGTCAGCATCTCGGAGTCTCGCCAGCGAAGCCGCTCCAGACCCTGCTCTCCCACTGGATCAGTCAGCAATGTGGCCACACCTAACTAGTTTAATTAAGCCGAAGGTGACTTCAAGGCATTTTAGGAAAAAATAAGTAAATAAAGAGCATCCTGCCAGCTCCTGGAGGGCACAGCCAAGGGGCGACTTGGCGCCCTCTGTGAACACCTCCCAGTGCCTGGCTCTGTACACAGCAGGTGGCCAATAAATGCACATGGCATTGTGCTCCCTTAAGGCTAATAACCCGGCTGAGATAAACTCAGTGGGAGGGCCGTGCTGAAAGCTTTCTGTCCTAGAAACAGGATGTAACCCTGAGACACCAGTGGGGCACTCTGGAAGGAGGACCTTGGAGCCGCCTGGGTACCAGGTGCCACGACATTCGGGTGTGGAAGACAGAGGGGCCTCGCTGGCTCAGCGGCCCAGCAGCCACACTCCCCACAGGAGACAAGCTCCCCACCCCATTCTACTGTGGGATCAGGCTCTCCCACCCCATCCTACTGTGGGCTCAGGCTCTCCCACCCCATCCTACTCTGGGGTCAGGCTCTCCCACCCCATGCTACTCTGGGGTCAGGTTCTCCATCTCATCCTACTTTGGGGTCAGGCTCTCCCACACCATCCTACTGTGGGATCAGGCTCTCCCACACCATCCTACTGTGGGGTCAGGCTCTCCACCCCATCCTACTCTGGGGTCAGGCTCCCCACCCCATCCTACTCTGGGGTCAGGCTCCCCACCCCATCCTACTGTGGGCTCAGGCTCTCCCACCCCATCCTACTCTGGGGTCAGGCTCTCCCACCCCATGCTACTCTGGGGTCAGGTTCTCCATCTCATCCTACTTTGGGGTCAGGCTCTCCCACACCATCCTACTGTGGGATCAGGCTCTCCCACACCATCCTACTGTGGGGTCAGGCTCTCCACCCCATCCTACTCTGGGGTCAGGCTCTCCCACACCATCCTACTCTGGAGTCAGGCTCTCCCACACCATCCTACTGTGGGGTCAGGCTCTCCACCCCATCCTACTCTGGGGTCAGGCTCTCCCACCCCATCCTACTCTGGGCTCAGGCTCTCTCACTCCATCCTACTGTGGGCTCACGCTCTCCCACCCCATCCTACTCTGAGGTCAGGTTCTCCATCTCATCCTACTCTGGGGTCAGGCTCTCCCATCCCATCCTACTGTGGGCTCAGGCTCTCCCACCCCATTCTACTGTGGGGTCAGCTTCTCCCACCCCATCCTACTGTGGGGTCAGGCTCTCCCACCCCATCCTACTCTGGGCTCAGGCTCTCCCACCCCATCCTACTCTGGTCTCAGGCTCTCCCACCCCATCCTACTCTGGGTTCAGGCTCTCCCACACCATCCAGCCATGGTGACAAACTCCCCACTCCAACCAGCCACAGGGATGGGATCTTTACACCATCCAGCCCGTGAAGGCACCTCGCCTCCACTCCCCCAACCCATGAGAAACCAAAAATCAGGCCAGGAGCGTCATCAGAAAGGCACCAGGCAAGCTTTGGAGGTCCTCCGAAATGAGTTTATTTGAAGAGCCCTGGGAGACAGGAAGACTTTAGTTCACTTTGTCATTTCGCCACTGTCTATGGTACTGGGGTGGCGGGGGGCACACTCGCCCAGAGTCCTGCCTCTCACGGGCAGGGTGGGTAAGAATGCGCAGCCGCGATGTTCTCATCACATCACCCTGAGCTGAGACCACATCTTCCTGCCTCGTCTCCTAGGGAATATAAGCTTCCCCGTTAGCAAGAGAGTAAGCCACATGGAGGGGCTGCCAGCGCCCTTTGCCAAGCCCACGCAGCCATTTGGGGTAAAGAAAGCAGCTCCTTTCGTGGTAAACAGACGAGGCTGTCCGGCTAACTGTCCAATGGCACGTGGTTCCCACAGCGGCTGCAGCAGCCTGGGCGGCAGGGGCCACACAGATTTCAGTGTGGCCAGTCCCACCCTGCATGGGATGCAGGCGAGCAGGGAGGAGGACCTGCAGCCCCGGCCACGAAGGACGATACGTGCCAGGGTCCAGAAGACAACCCCAAAATCGTTCACGTTTATCCACACAACGTGGCCATGAGGCAGCCCCTGTTTCAGTCGCCATGACACAGATGGGGGAACTGAGGCCTCAAAGGTGAGGTCACCTGCTGGGAGGTGGCAGAGCCAGGATTCGAACATAGAAAGTGACCGCTCAGACAGACACACAAGCACGCGCCCATCTGGTTCTCCCGAGCGCCCAGCCTCCCTTGAAGCACCTTCCACCCTGGCTGGGGCAGGGGGCTCAGAGGACTGTGTCGGTGTCAGCATTGTCGCCCTGGAAGGACACACACTTTCAGCCCCTGCCATAGCCAGTATCTCCCCACCCCCACCCTGCTGCCCAAACCACAGCTAAGAACTGACAGGCCCAGGTGACCGGGCCAGGCAATGCGGAGCCTCCCCAGCCTCCTCCCCCAGCCTCCACAGGGCTGAACCACCCCATCACCACCCCACAACCCCCGGTGGCCCTCACCCCCATGTGCCAGCCTCCCGGCCAATCAGCCCCAAAACCCTGCCCAGGGAAAGGCAGCCAGGCAGCCCCCAGGTCACAGTCACAGGCAAACACACCACAGGTTCAAAGCTGGCTCTCCTCTTCTCTCAGTTTCTCCAGACACAAAATAGGGACAGCATTTCCCAGCCCCAGAGTGGCTGTGAGGACAGGAGAGAGGACAGGTCTGTGAAAGCACCCTGCCGTGGGCAACACCTGGCAACCCCACCTACCGCAAGTGACGTCAGATACGTGTGCCCCCACAGCCCTGCCCATCCCCACCCGCCCACCTCAGGGAAGCACCCGAGCGGACAGTGGCTCCCTTGCTGGCCTTCCTGGGTCTGGAGCTAGGCCATTACTCATCTGCGGGCCTCCCCTTCCCCCCCCTCAGGGCTCTCCTTTGTGAGCCGCTGCCGGCCTCCCATTTCCATCTCCTCAGAAACACCGTAGGGAAAGGGCAAAGCCCCCAAGGCCCCAGTTGGTCCCCGGCAAAGGCCACGCAGCCCAGCCTGGAAACCAGCCGTGACTCACTCAGTCCCTCCCTCCCCAGCGAGTGTTTTCCGATGTCACCCTCGCGAATAGCTGTTCTCCACGTGGAATCGCCAAGGGCTGCCAGGGAAGGGCTACCGGGCTGGCGGGTGGCCGCGCCTGGACGGTGCTGGCAGGACAGGGCTGGCCCCCAAACCCCTTTGCATGCCTGGCCCCTTCAAAGAGTGCGCGGGTAGGGGTTTCGAGACCCCCGGGGGCGGAACGGGAGCCTCGATTCGGCTTAAGTCTCCGCCAAGTTTCCTTTAAGGGGCCCAGAAAAGCAGCTCTGGCCGGCCGGGCGGACATTTTCTTGCCTGGCGGCCACACGCACGCCTCCACCGCGGCAAAGGCCACACTTGAGGGCCCAACGGTGGAGGGGGGGCGGGGTTTGAGGATGGAATGAGGTGACTACGAGCTCCTGCCAAGTTGCGCGGCCCTGGGGGCCCTGTGACAGAGCGCGCGACCCCCCCCCCACGCCCGCGGCCAAGAGGAGTTGGTGGCCGCCAAGGGGGCGCGTCTCGGGCCCACCCGCTCCCTCCCCGGCCCGGAGGGCACCCGCTCCCCGCCCCCACCGCCCCACTGTGCCTGCTCGTCCTCCACCGGGTCCAGCCATCAGGTGCTAAGCCAGAGAACGCAACCCCTGCGCGGCCACCCGGCGTGGCAGGCTTGGGGGCCGGAGGGGCGTTCGCAGGGCCCCGGCGCCCAGGCGTGGGAGGAGGCGGCCGTGCTGAGCGCCTGGTCAGGGTTCGAGTCCCTCTCTCCACCTTGGAGGCACAGACCGGGACCAGCGCCTCCCCAGCAGTGCCCGCGGGCGGCGGAGGCGCGGCCCGTGCTTGGGGGACTTTGGCAAACTTCGCGCCGCCGGGGGCTGCCCCTCAGAGGAGCTGGCTCCGACCCCGAGGGCGCTCCCTCTTCCCGCTCCCCCTCCCGCCGTCCGCCGCCGCCCCTGAGCCCCAACCAGTTTCCCGGGGCCGCCCGCAGCTGCGACCTCTGCGTACCCGTCCGCGCGACGAGCGGCGCGAACGCCCGACGACCGGGCCCGAGAGCCCCGGCGGCTCGGCTGGCCGGGCCCTCCCGTCGCGCCCGGGTCCTCACCTGGGACATCTGCGGCCGGAAGTTGATGTCCTTGAGGTCGATAGAGCCTGGGGACAGGTTGTGCAACAGCTGGCACAGCAGGACGCCGTCGCGCAGCGCCTGAGCCAGATCGAAAACCACAGCCGAGGGCCACACGACCCGGTGGTTGGGCGGCAGGACCTTGCAGTCGATGAGCCAGCGGCCGCATTGCCGCCACTGCTCCATGGCGCCCGGCGGCGGCCGAGCTGGCGGCGCCGCTCAGCGCAGGACTCGGGCAGGAGCGCGGCGGCCGCGGGGCATC